TTTAGGTAAATTATAAATAAAGTAATTAATTAAAAAAAAAACTATATTTTTAGTTAAGTATATACTTACTTATAAAATAAAACTATAACTTTAAAAAAGTATTTTTATTAAATATAATAAAACTTATATAAGTAATAACTATAAAATAACTTATTATATAAAATTATTTATTATATTTATTAAATATACCTTAAATAATTAATTATTAATATAGCATTTATATAACAACTAGATTAAACTCTAAACTAAAGTTGTTAGCTATATAACTAAAAACACTTATAAAATTTTTTATATCTCTCTGCTAATATAAACCTAATATTAGAGGTTTATCCCTTAAGAACTAGTTACCCTATACCAGGTATAGGATTAGAATATTATAATTTGTTTATATTAAGAATTTAATATTTAAAATATTTATTTTATATAAATACTTATAATTATTATAACCTAACTCTTATAGTTATAACAATAGGTCTACAGGGTAGGCAACCCTAGATTAACTATAAACCAATATACTAATTAAAGCTATTGGGTATATAAAATAAAAAAGCTAGAACAAATAAATTTTTACTATAATTTAAAAATATTAATTTAATATATAAGTTTACTTTTTATATTTATTTAAATAACTTAAATAATTAATTATAAAATTGAAATTAAAATATATTTTTAACTTTTATTTATTAATAATTATTATTATAATATTATATTACCTATAGGTTTTTTAATTTATTTACAACATAAAACTATTTATTATATTTATTAAATATAACTTAAATAAATAATTATTAATATATTATTTATATAATAATTAAATTAAACTTTTATTTAAAGTTATTAGCTATATAATTAAAACTACTTATAAAAATTTTATATTTTTCTGCTAATATAAACCTAATATTAAAGGTTTATTTATTAAAAATTAGTTACTTTATACTAGGTATAGGGATTAGAATGTTACATTTGGGTGTTTTAACCAAGGCCTTTGCAGTATAAAGATATATAATATATAAGGTAGTTATATACAACTGCTAATATACCTTCCTTAGTATTTTATATAAGTGCTAGAAAGGGATAAGGATAAGGCAAGTAATAAAGTAAAATAACTATAATAAAGTTTACAGCTAAGAGCATGTATAATGTTTACGAAAACGCCATGCCAAAAACAGTCTGTTGTAATATCCCAAAAGCATGTACCAGTGTAACTGTAGACAGGCGGCTAGCAGACCTTGTGGATGTTTATATGGCTATAAGGCTGAGAATCGTGGATACGCCAGAAGGGCTAGGAAGCAATTTAGTTATTACTCTATACTTCGTAGCCCCTAGCACTTGGTAACGGGGGGGGGGGGGGGGGGG